GACTGCATCAGGGTAGGTCCATGTGGCTTCTCCTCAGGGATGTCTTGCAGGAAGTGAGCCTTGCCAGCTGAAGCAGGGAACTGGCTAAGGCAGCTGCATCCTGGTCTGACCATCATGCGAGGCTCACCAATGCATTTATCCCTCTGCCCTTCAATTAACCCCACATGTGTTTATCAGCCAGGTTGGCACAATAAACTACCTCCCTCACTGTGTTATTGTGGTTTGGGTGAATGTTGACAGAGAACATTAGTTTACCATCCAGCAAGGAATGTATAAATTGTTCTGTGACAACCCTGCAGTGTGTCAGCAATTTCCCCATTTCTACCTTGGGTTTCCCTGCTTCTGTTCACCCAGTTCACCTGCTTCTGAACTTTATTTTGGGGAAATGCTGCCCTTGTGGCCTCATATAGCTGATAGTTCTCAGGCGCATTTTCCTCCTGGGTGTTATGTGGCTGAAAGGTGATCTCTGGGAGCAGCTCATTGCTGAGTTACAGGGTGGAACAGGAGGCGGAACAGATTTCTGAGAACACTCGATTAAGGACCATGGTTTCAGGTGAAGCCTACCAACTCTATCAAACCACAGGAAGGGGCTTCAAACATTTCATGAAAAAAAAGTTTTCCCCCATTTCTCTCTTAATTCTATTTTCCCACAAACTTTTTGCAGCTGTCTCCTGAGTTGGGTAGTCTTAGGAATTGGAACTGTGCTGTACATTTCTCTCCCATTCTATCAGGTGTTGTGATCCCAGTCAGGGTGGTTGGTGGTGGAAGTCGGGCACCATTGACATCTTCTGATCTCAGATTAGTAGAGGCTGTGGGTCATGCAGTCCTTTAGTCCCCGGGACTAATGGTTTCTGAGTCTCTTTGGTTTGCTCCACTCTTCTTTACTTCTGATGGCAAGAGAACAATGGTTGTAAGAGTCTACAGTTTGTGAGATCTCAGTTGCTATTGCTCCCAGGAGGATGTACAACATTGCCTTTCTGAACTCCATGAGGCCAATTAGGCCCCCAGCAGCGTGTTCTCTAGCCCTCAAGCCCAGTATCTCAGACCCTGGAGGTGCTTAGTTGTGGCTGAGAGGTTTCCATGACTGTGTGCTCTACTAGAGTAGGTAAGTTACAAAAGTATTGCTGCCAAGGCACAGGTTTATTTCAGACAAAATAGTTGTGTACAATTGTCTCTGTGATCAGTGGATGACCGCAGTCATTTACAGTATTTTCATCTTACCTCACTTGGGTGAAACTTGAAAAAAGGCTTTCTAAGGGGCTCTGCTGGGCCAGGTCAATTCAAGGCAGAGAAGGCAGTTTGGAAGGTGACAGCGACTATTTGTTTGTTTTTTTATTATCCCAAAGGAATAGTCTTGATAGATTTCCTTAGATTTCCTTAAGGACACGGAACAATCATAGGACCCTCTTTTGAAGATTTTTAGAGTATTGAAAACTGCATTGAGAAGGAAAGGCCAGTAAGGTTGTGCCAAGGAACTTTTCCCATCATGACGATGCACCTGCTCCTCTTCGAAGGCAGCAAGGGCTAGCCTAGAGAATTTCACTGGGAAATATCATCCCAGCCATCCTACTGCCCTGGTCTTGCCCCTGCAGACTTCTTTTTGCTTCCCAAATTCAGAGAACATTGAACCGAAACGTGCTTAAGTCCCCTGAGGATGCCCAAACTGCCATCCTGATGTGATGCAAATGTAAGCCCACTGGAGTCTGCAGCGGGAAGGCTCACAGAGATGGAAACACCACTTCCAGAAGTGCATAGACCGAGATGGAGGGTGCAGTTTGTTTAACTAATGTTTCTGTGGTTTCACAGCACATTTTTTTTACTTACCCTCACATCCTTGGCTATGTTTGCAGCCTGCGTAAATATGCAGGTGCTTTTTCAACACAACTGGAGGCGCCCTCAGCCTGAGTTTTGAAGATGTAGAAGGTTATCATGAAAAATGTTTTACCCAAATATGTCAAAGCACATGTGTGCAAAACCCACTGGAGCAGAGCCCCGTGTTACAAGGGAAACCTAGGTAGCTGGGGATGAATGTTCAAGTCCTTTAGCAACCATGGTCTTTCAGAATTTCCCACCACCTCCAGTTTGGAATGCAGTACTTTAGGAAGGAAAACTGAAGAACTGGTCTTGAAGGCATCAATAGAAGCAAGTGAAGACAGTATTTAAT